TTTTTTTTTTTCAACTATAAAAAAGATCTCTTTTATTGTTCACACTTGTCAAAAAAACCATTTTAAAAGCTGCAAAATGAAACAGAATTATAGTTACAAAAGCTAATGAAACAGAAACAGTAAGGTTATGCCTAAAATAAATAATTACATTTAAAAAAAGATGAATGATTTTTTCTACATAAAAGTAAGTAAAAACGACTAAGCAGTTTGTCGTCTTAACAGGAAAACCTAGATTTTGTATTGCTCTATCTGTTAAAAGCTCAATTAAAATTAATCTTAGAAACTTATACTGATAGCAGCTATTAATCTGTAAACTGCTATTATCCAACCTTTGTCAACCTACTAAATCAATGTGTTACTCTTTTATGCAACTTAACAAACTTAATGATTAGTTTTTTTTTTTTTTTTCTGATTTAATAGAAACGTATCAAACTACAGTTACCGTTTTACGGTAAACAAAATTAAGCTGTATGGGGGGTCAGAGACGTAAAAGAAGATGAAAACATTTGTTTAATTGTGAAAACAGCGAGAAGACAAAAAAAAAAAAAGACAGTCAAAGAAAGAACAAGTTTCAGAAACCCCAAGTATTTGCACGTGCATCGGCACTTAGACATCGACTCAATCACACGAATACCAACCAGTACAGCCAAATGTTGATACTGGACCACAAAGGTTAGGTGAAAAACCGACCTGGTAAAGTTGATAGTTTTCGGCAACAACAACAACAACAACACCAATGCTGCATAGAAAGACGGAAGAAGACCAAAGTGAAAGCATCGTTGCCTATCCGTCAAAGACTACCAGTAACGTAAGTTTCCAAAAAAATCTGAAACCGCTATCAGTCACGCCTACTGCGGACATATAAACCCGCCTTCTCGTCACCATTTTTCACCCTAATCTGACCTACACCAAATATTGAGACTGAGAATCTGAATGAAAACAAACCGCAGATAGATTGAACAGTTGCAAACAGTAATGACAAAATTTTATTATTTGATGATCCGTAAGAGGAACTCTTCTTCTGTTTTGTTTTTTTTTTATCCACTTTAATTTTTTTTGATGTCTTCAAATGCAGTTTGTTTTTTTTTTTTTTTTTCAGCGTATTATTTACATACTTTCACCTCAATTCTTTTCATCAAA